TTAAAACAACCAGATCTCGTGAGAACTCGCTCACTAGCAGGAGAACAGCAAGGGAGAAATCCGCTCCCATGATCCAATCTCCTCCCACCAGATCCCTCCTTCAACACTGGAGATTACAATTCAACATGAAATTTGAGTGGAGACATGGAGACAAACCTTATCACTACTACTGCACAATAGAGTTTTTAAGAATATAAAATAAAATAAAATAAAATAAAATATATAAATTGCCTCTCCCACTGACCTAGTTCTAGTGCACCCAAGTGCTTAATAAATATCACCTGTAGTTACTGCTGATAATTAAAAAAACTGTTACTTTTGATGTGCTAATTGGCAGATTCTTACAATAACTTTATTTTTCTTACATAAGTAAATTAAATCTCTTATGGATTGTGGTCCTTAAAAATGATGATTTACTTTTTGAGCCCATATTTAATGATTTAACTATCACCTTTGCATCTAACGAGATTCACATTAAATATTTTGAGGCTTTCAACATTTCCCATAAATTTTTATTTTATTCTAAAAATCTTGAAATCTATATATAAGGTGAAAGGATCTTATAATAATCATCCATCACCAAGATTCAATTAATTACTAACATTTTGCCACATTTATTTTATCTTTTTTGTATGAATTTATAAAGTCAAAGAAAAATGGTGGGATTAGTTTGTATAAATAGCTCACACGTAATTAATTATAGTAAAGTGTCCTCCTTTTCATTCTATCTAATTTCACTTATTTTAGTAATGATATCTGTGTCTACAAGAACACATAGATAATTAAGTTGTGTGCACATCTAGATTTTTACATCAAAATTCAAAACATCTAAAGTGTACAAATCTGGATTTTTAAAATGTTTACATCCTTCATATGCATAGTATCTGTTCTGAGATGAATTTCTAACTAGATTTTATATTAGAAATAGTATTCAGTGACTTAATATATGACTTATGTTGAGGTTTCTAATTTTATTTCTTTTATTTCTATTGTCTCTTAGTTGTAGTGAGTTATCTGATAACATTTGGCCTATCAGAATACAAATAACAAATCAAAAAAATTAAAATATCTGCTTTAGTTGATAATACAAATTTACTCAGCTTTAAAAAATAAGGCTGTAAAGCTTCTTGTAAATACTAAATTGTATTTGAAATTTTGATAGTTTTTTAGTTACTAATGAATGAGGAATATGCCATACATTAATTTTCAGTCATTAAAATCTAAGAAAAAAGTAAATATTACTGGAAATATCGTACCTTTTTTCATTAATGAACATGTCAGAATTTCTAAAAGTATATCTCAAAATTAATACAGAAAAATAGTATGTTTGTATAAGTTAGAGAATTTTCATCTTCTCCATTTATTATTTGTCAATCTTGAGAAAGTAGAAGCACAAAGAAAACTCTATCACTGTTTAAAATTATTTAAACCCAAACCACTGAACAGATCTACCATATCTTATTTACTGGATAGGACCCTGGACTCTCTCAAATGAATAATTCACATTTGTGATGCTCACTCTACTGTTTACATTTAAACATCAGAAAGAATAATTATAAAACAATTTTAATCTGCACCTAAACAGTTTTATGATCATTAAATTTGCATAATACATTATTATCTGCCACACTTATTTCCCTCTACCCCATCCCAGCTCACCTTGCAAGTAAAAGTGCTCATAAAATCTCAGTGGCTGAAAAGGTTTATAGTAGTTTCACAGCCACTTTATTTCCAGGTAGTAGACACATTCCTTCCAGGACCTATAATTTAATCATTTTGCATGTGAAAAAAGTAGGACAATGACATTTAGATTTAGGTATTTAAGTTAAGAACAACCAGAAGGAGATATATATGTATATATGTAAATATGTGTGTATGTATACACACACATACACACATATATATAAATTATGAATTTTAAAATGGTGGATGGTATTTGTTTCTGGTGAAGCAGGCTTTAACGGTGAAAGAATCACATTCATTTTTTTTTCCAGTGATTGAACCAAGCCAAATCTGAGCAAAACTAGCTCCTGTGCCCAATCCTGCATTCTCTTAACCGGTAATAAAGAACTTTGCTGGCCTGACAGGTTGTCACAGCAATTATTCACATGAAGTTCTGTAGCAGTTGTATCTGTCAGCCCATGTAGTATTGAATATTTTAACTGGCAGTCTTCCAAGACTGAACATTAATCTTACCATCTCCTATTACAGTCCCTAATCAAGATATTCCAGGGGTGATTGCACTAACATTGTTTGAAGACTACATCTACTGGACTGATGGGAAAACCAAGTCACTCAGCCGTGCCCATAAAACATCGGGAGCAGACAGACTCTCACTGATTAACTCATGGCATGCCATCACAGATATCCAGGTGTATCATTCTTATAGACAACCTGATGGTAATTATTCTTTCCATGATTTCCATAAATGCATTAACATCTTTCAGTAACATTCCATTTTTTATTCTTTCAAGGTTAAATGTAATTTTATTTTTGATGAAGTTTACTAGATTTAATTATTTAGCATCACTTTATGGAAGAATTCAATCAATATGAAGTACTGCTCTTAAGACATATGATAGAAGCTCAATAATAGGACAAAGAATTGTAGATTTGTTCAACTCATATAAAGCTAAAATGATAATAATGCACTTAGTCAGATAAGTGAAGACTGTATTCTTGAAATAATTTGTTTACAAAATAGAGGATCCTTAGTTTCTGCAATGTTGAGTAGGAGGAATTATGTTTAAGTAGCTCTCAGATTTTAAAACTGACAACTCTATCAAGTTTTCTTCAACATATGTTTAATAGGAATTTCATCTGGCCTTGTGAAATGAAGGTTTGATTATTTTCCTTAAAAAACCTATCTGGCCTATAAAGCAAAGCCATTACACTCCTAGGTGTAGATCATTGTTTCATTGTTTTATTTTATGTTTGTATTTCTGAACATATGTTGTCTTCATCCAAAATGCTTCTAGTCTTGTTTATTTTTCTCATGGACAGTTTTTTCCTACTAAAATTCTTGTTTTGTAGAAATGCACCCTTAAAATTATTGAATGGTCAAATTAATGTCAATGGACAATGAGTAGCATTTGTGACAAAGTAAAATTATATTTATAGTCTTGATGAGTTCTTGATTACAAAGATTTATTCCAATTCAAGTTATGAAGCTTAAGTGTCCTATCTCTAATCCCATGTTATATTACTAGTTTTGATTATCCTGTTTTGTTGTTGTTGTTTCTTTCTTATCTGTAGTCTCCAAACATCTCTGCATGATAAATAATGGTGGTTGCAGTCATCTGTGCCTTTTAGCCCCTGGAAAAACCCACACTTGTGCATGTCCCACCAACTTCTATCTGGCAGCTGATAATAGGACTTGCCTATCCAACTGCACAGCCAGCCAGGTGAGTGGAGGTCTGCGAATCTTCTTATAGAGTGTTTGGTGAAACATCAGTTCTTTTGTTTAGCATAACATTGAATGATCATTCCATACATGGTAGAGATGGTCACAGAATAAAGGAAAAGCACTATAACACCTCATTAAAATGGACCTTAGCCATTAGGAAGAATAAATAAAGGCCAAAAAGGAAACGAACAAACAAACAAACAAAAAAGAAAGAGAAAGAAAAAA